TTCTTTTTCATTTCTAACTTTTAACTCTGTAATTTTAAAATTTCAATAAAATATTATTATACATAAATGGTCTTGGGAACTGCTTACATACATCTCAGTTGACCTTTAAAAAAAGTTAAATATTTGTTTACCTGACATCATATTTCATTAGTACCATAATTTAATATTGTAGATGGAATGAATAATGAAAGTTCAAAAAAGCTTCTAATTTTTATTATGTTTGCATGTATGGATACTTCCTCTTTTCCAACTTGGAGTCATGTAAATCTGAATTGATATAGGACATTCCTTTTCCCTCCCCACCTGTTTTTCCTTATGTTAATGCATTATAAGTAATTGCCTCGTATGGTTTTTGGAGAAAGAGCTGCTTTAAGCAGATAAATGTAGCAATCCTTGTGCAAATTCTTATTTTACTTTCTTATCAGGGAACTGATATCAAGACTGACCTAGTTTTCATGTAGCTTAATAGAATTTTAAATTTGTGCATAAATTTTAAATACATGTTTTTACATCTCCTTTGAAGTGCTCCTGTTTTAATTCTTTTATTCTTCCCTTCTCCTTCTGTCCAGCTGAGATGAGAATAGAATGTACCATACCATAGCTTACTCAAAGCAAATTCTGTTAATAGCTTTTCAAAATGTTTTATTGTCTGTTTGAAACTGAACAGTTTTGCAAAGACTTAGAACATTGGAGAGTGTTCCTCCCATTTTTTTTAGAAATTTTAGCTTATTGTAAAAAATCAGTTAATTTTTTTAAAAAAGCAGTACCTGTACTTGTATGTCTCCCGATATTATGCATACGTTTAATTATCATAATCATGATTAAACACTGATGTCATGGATGCAATGTAAGATGATTTCTCATGTATCTCTTTCTAATATATGGGGAAAATATCATTATTCCAATCTAGGAAACAAAATATTCCACACTATAATTCACTTTTTATGAGTCACTTTTTGTGAGATGGGCGGTATCTAAATTTGAAATATAAATAAATAAAAATAATGTAGATTGCAGTTGTAGCCAATCACCTGACAGCTTTTGTGATAATACTACCATATGAATGTTGTCCCTATTTTATATTGCTAAACTATACAATAGGAAGGAAGCAATGACAAACCACTTCCAAAAAACCTTGCCAAGAAAACTGCAGGGACTAGTCCAGGTAGTTGCCAGGAGTCAAAAACTGACTCGAAGGCACAAATTAAAAAAACTATACAAACTTTTATTCTTGCTTTCTTACTTCTTTGGAAATCACATTCTGTTTGCAATGTTGAAAATTCTTTGTTTATTTGTGACAGCTCAGACATGAGCAGTGCCAGTAACTCTCTGGCACGAGAGTTTTTGTCCGATGTCAGCCAACTTTGCAATGCAGTGGACCAAAGGGTGGAAACCAGGGAGGAAGAGGAAGAGAAAACGCACATAGCTGCGCTTGGGCAATATCTTATCCAAGGTCGTGGATATATTTTGCTTACTAAACTTAATTCCATAATTGACCAGGTAAATGCTATTTTCATACTTGTCAAAATGTGATACATTTAGCTAGAACAATATCTATTTGAATAAAATGACATGATGAATATCCTTCATTGTGCTTATAGTTATAAAGAAGAATAATTGGGAAGGATGACAGAGGTTCTTTGTCTCCCTCACCTTCAGATAAGATCACATTCTCTTTGGGGATTGGATTTTTGCTGTTGAATATCAGCCAGGATCAGGATGACAGATACTGCTACCTGCCAGTCAGCTGATTGGTGCTGTTGTATGCTTCACACAAAAGCCTTCCTTTGGGCCAGTGTTGTAAGATGGGAGCCAATGCTGTACCTTGTAGCCATTGTACTAATAATGTAGGACATGATATTTTATTTTTGCCTTGTAAAATAACTAGATGTGAATGTCCTGAAGGATAGGTTCAGGAAAGATGATCTCTTTCCAACCAGTTTACTCATTCCTTAACTAAACTTGGTAGCTTCTTCAGAGTTTTCACAATACATTGAATCATAAACTAAGTAAATAGGCAGGTTTAAATATTTTGCTAAGCCACTTAAAAACAATCAGAGTTAAAATTTCTCAATTTAACCTGTTGTGCAGATCAGCCAGTAGAAATTTAATAACCTGATTAAGCCATACTGTCTTAGATGATATTAATTCTATTTTGTTTGGATTGTTTTGTTTTTTGTGGATATATGTTTTTTATTGATATTTGTCTGTCTACATGGGTATTGTCACATTGATGACATTTCTTTTCCAAACTGATTATTTCATTTAGCATTTTCATGTCAATATTAAACAGTATTTGGAGACAAGGCAAAAACCTATCATACTCCTAGCATCTCCTGGAATCAATTTTACAAAAAGGAACAAAAGCCAGTAAAAAAAAAAAAATCTACCCTGGAGCCAACCTATCCAGAGATCATAGAAAATCGTGATTGAAATTGATGTAGGCATCAGTGTCAGCTAAAAATAACTGGTAATCTATGATCAGGATATCTGTTGTCTCACCTGAGTTAGGTAGAAAGGTAAGACAGGACACCCCCAAATTACCCAGGTAATTTAATGTAGATGTTAAAAAGACTGGGTGATAAAACTGAGCTCTGTAAAACAATTGCCATAGAAAAGTACAGTAGTCTGAAAGTGGCAAGGAGGAGTGGAACTATTATGAAATGGTGCTCCCAACTTCTGACAGCTGTTCTAGAAAGTTACTGTGACTTCAACTGTGTTGAAACCTAAGGGGAAGTCTGAGGAACCTGCAGATTATGTAAGGCATTTTCAGTCTTAAAACTAAGTGCCAGGTTAGATTAAAAGAAACACAGGAAATCTTGAGAAATGGAAGAAAGAAAACCTCTCAGGACTAGGTCTCAGTTGAAGTAACTTTTTCTACTTCAGGTTAAATGGTTAAAATGTTAATGTGTTGTAAATCACCATTAGAAGCTTTGGAAAAACAAATAAAAACAATAAACCTTTAATCCAAGTTTGATTATGAATGTATGGTAAATTATAATTTCTGAATTGTCATAAAAATATGAGCTTTTGTTTCCTTAATAGGAGCTTACCTGTCGAGAAGACCTCCTTACTCTCCTATTATCACTTCTGCCACTAGTATGGAAAATACCTGTAGAAAAAGAAAAGGCCATAAGTAGGTTCTCTGTAATACTGATACATGAATTTAAAATATGTTATATTTTATAATTATAGGTTGAATTACATTTTTCACAGATAAGTGAACATCTAAAATTTCTATACACATAACTATATAAGAGCAAGACTGTTTAATGTGTATCTAAGAGCTTTACGATTGCAGTCCTCCACATCTCTCAGTTACCTTATAAAATACTTGCACTTTTTAAAGTGCTTCATAAATATCCATGACAGCTTGGAAGGAGTGAATATTCATACATTGTAGGCAGGTACTAAGCTGAGTTGTGTCTGAAAGTAAGCTGAGGTTTTTTAGCTTTGATCTAAAGAGTGAAATATGCAGAGTCTGGTATCAGTTTCTGGTGTTCAAGGGCTAATCTCCTAGGTCATATTTGTATACTGCTTCAGCTAGTATCATTAAACCTTTTGTTAAACCTTTTGCCAGAACAAATAATGTGTAACACTGCACACTTAAAAACCTGTACCTATAGTAACGAATGAAAGAGAAAAAGAAAGAAAG